CCTTCCCAGACTCTGTACCCTTTCCTACACCCCTTCCTCAGGCCAGAATCTTCTCCTGAACCCATACTCCCTCCTGGACCCTCCACCCCAAACCCCTACCCCAGACCATAGCCCCCTCCTTTGCCCAAACTACCTCTGAGACCCCACATCCCCTCCTTCACTCCAGTCCTCTATCCCGAGCTTTCTTCTACATCCCACCCATTATCCCAGACCCCACATCCCTGCATTATCCCAGACCCCACGTCTCCTCCCCCTTCTTTCCTCCTAAATATTTCATTACTCTCAGATTTATCTGGCATTGCTCAATTAAGGTTTGTGCTTTTTTAATAAAAGGGAAATGTACATGCTTTATTTCAATTATTGTATTTTTCAAAAATTCAATGTTATTTTTATTAAGCTCATTTTTATTTTGGATTTCTTAAAAAGGGGACTGCTAAAATGTTTCCATTAAATTTGTGTTTAATAACTTTTTAAAATGAGAGTTCCATCTAGTGTGTATTTTCTTCAACCCTATAAACTCTTATCATTTGCTATGTTTTAACAGAAATGGGCTACAATCAATTTGATTTCCAAGATCATATTCTCCTAGTTTTCAAATCTTAATCATTGATTTAGCTGTGCCAAAACAGAGCACTACTCTACAGTTCTCCATTTTATCATTTTTCTGTAACATTTATTGAGAAGCAATCCTATTCCAGGTTTATCCTATTTTCTCTGGCTCCTCTTGGTACAGTGTCCTTCAACTTTCCTCAGTTAAGTCAATTGTGAGGACTGTATTTGCTTTGGCCATGCTGTCTCACTTCTGTATGGTTTTATGAAAAGCAATTCCATTCCAGGCACATTCAGTTTTCATGGCATAATCAAACCCTTCTTTTGCTTTAAGTTAGGATAAGAGGAAGCTACATAGCAAATTTGGTGGTCCTAGTTCTTACCATTCAGAAGGAGTTCTTGATCAAACAAATGGTCAGATAAACTCTCTAAAATATATGGTAGATCTAGAAGTTTTCAGCTGAAATGTTTCCCCCACTTGTTAGTTTTTTAATTAAAAGTTAAAATGTTCTTCTTGAAGGTTTCAGTGGAAATTCATTGCAGTTTTCCACAGGCAAAAACAAACATTTTCCATCTGTCCCAGAATGCACCATGTTTAAATCCTCACTGGTGGAATCTCCCAATCCTCCATCCTGCCCTTTGTCTGACATGAGTCCTCTGAAACCTCCTTGGGGTTAATGGGCATTGGGCTGATGGATTATGAGAGGTTTCCCACCTCTGGCCAAGAGGCTGTGATCCCCAGTGATTCCTGGGAGGAGCCTGGAATTGCTTTTCTGGAGTCAAATATGGATCGGGGGCGGGTAAGTGGGGCTGATGGGACACTCACTTTTCAGGCCGTGCACTGGCCAGACCCCAGCTCCATGGATACAGAGATCTCAGGGCTCTTGCACCTGCTGGCTGAGTCACAGAGACAGGCGAGGTCTTGCAGAAGCCACACTGCAGAGTTCAGAGGCTTCACCTACATTCCCCATAACAGCACCCCAGAGGCATGGAGCCAGGAGGGAGGGGGACCAAGGCCAGGGTCAAAGCCTGCCTTGTGCATGACCCCCTGGTTCTGAAAGGTCTCGGCTCTAAGGAACACTCCCCTTGTGAGTGGCCGGGTTTGGGGACATAGAATAGTTTCAGGGCTTCCCTTGTGACACCCTCCTCCCAAGCAGCCTCCCTTCCCAGCAGTGAGCCAGGCACTGAGCCAGCTCCCCCATCCACCTCGGGCAGGGAGTGTCTGGATCGCACACACACACCCATAACGGCAGAGCCAGCCAGTTATAACCCAGCAAAACAGGACGGGCTGGATCCATGCAGTGGCGGGGACAGGAATTAGGTTTCTGTGATGTTTCCTGCCTGTCACCTAGCAACCTTATTCCTCTAGCCAGGTGACAGTAACCAAGGCATGTGGCTCTACAGGGCCTAGTTCAGTAGCTGCATCCTGCCCAGCCAGGGCTGCCCAAATGAGAAGCAGATAAAAAGTGCTAGCAGAGCTTACACCTTAGTTTAAGTAGAGATCGATGCTGTGGCCTGGCAGATCCTGCCTCCAAACAACCCCTAGTTGAAGCCTCTGTCCACACTATCACAATGGCTCCTCCTTAGAAACCACTGGGGCTGTTCTGCCCTGCACTTCCTGTCCCATGTTAAAGTCACTTGCATCACTTGGCACTGAGCCTTAGATCCCTGGGCTCCTGTTTTCAGTGTATGGCCCAGCCTGCTAATGTCCCCACACAAACTGGGACAGGAAGGGCAGCTTGGTGGTGGGTAAAGGGGATGGGGCGGGAGTAGGGAGCAGTTCCAGGGGCAGGGGAGGATCAGCTCTCAGGGCTGCGCTGCAGAGGGTGTCCTGAGTGATGGGAGGATGAACAGAAACCTCAGTGGCATGTAAATCCCTCACTGCTCACTGTATCTCCGCTGGTAATTGAACACCTGCCTAGGTCCTGGCCAGATACCAGGTTAATGAGTGACAGGTGCCCTGGTGCTTTCACTTTCCCCGATCAGAGTTCACACACAGCTCCGGGATCCATTTCCCCACCTGCCCCAGCACGTCCACTCAATTCCTTGGTTGCTCAGCATCGTGCAGGACCCCAGGCTCACTACACGGCATCTTCTGGGACATGCTGAATCCTTAAGGTAGGTTCCTGCCTGTTTCATTGCTCTCTGGGGTTGCTCCTGCCTGCTGGGAGCTCGTCCTCCTGTTCCCACCTCCCATCAGCACTGGGCAAACCCAAATGGTGGGTGTGAGTCATTGCTCAGCCCGTTGTTCCCCCCACAGACGGTGTGGCCATCTGGGGTTCCTTGGGGCCTTTCCCTGCAGGCTGGGATGGGACATAGAGGTGATTTGGTGCCTCTTCAAAAAGGCTGCACAGCCCCGCCCTACCAAGGCCTGGAGCAGGAGGGGCTGCCAGATCAGGAGGGGAGGAGCGGGGCATTTGGCCTAGAGATCTACATGGAAGGTGCCTCCCTTGTTGTTCTTATTACATGTGTTACAGTAGCACCCAGAAGCCTCCAGGTGAGATCTGGGTCCCCATTATTCCAGGCAGTGCACAGATTCTCACTGACATTTGAGTCCCATTGTGCTGGGTGTGGTACATACAGACAGTGAGAGACCATCCCTGCCCCACAGAGCTCTCAGCCTGGCACTGGGTGGAGCTGAGCCTAGCTGGGCTCAGATCTTCCAAGCCATGTCCGGTGGGACATGATGCTGTGGTAGAACAGGTGTGCACCCTGCACTGGGCACCAAGTGCACAGGTCTAGACTGAGCCGGAGGGATGGGGGAGGTTAGATCCCGTATCGCCTGTCAGACCGTGCAGTGCCTTAAACCATCAGCTCTCACTCTGCCAGCCATAGCAACCTGGAATGTCAACTTGTCAGCCTCTGTCCACAAAAGTCTGTATTCTAGACGTACCCATAGAAAGCCTCTGTCGACAAAGTGCATCTAGACTACAGTCAGGTCTGTCGGCAAAGCAAACTGCTTTTTTGACAGAGAGTCTAGATGCTCTTTTTTGAAAAAGCACAGTGTGGATGCAATAGCACCTTTTTTCAACATAACTCTATCGAAAAAAGGCGTTATTCCTTGTAGAATAAGGTTTACCGCCATCAACAAAACTTCCGTGTTCTATTGACTTACTGTTGATAGATCTCATTCCACGAGAAGTAACAGTTAATTCGAACTAAGGAGTTAGTTCAAATTAACATTTAACTGCCACGTCTAGACGCGGGCAGTTAGTTCGGACTAAGGGGGATTTAAAAATGGCGGTGCCCAGGAGCATGCAAATGAAGCCCAGGATATTTAAATCCTGGGCTTCATTTGCAACTCTGGTTGCCCTTATTTGCCTACCTAGCTGGAACTTACGAGCTAATGTAGACATACCCTCAGTTATTAGACTGAACAAGAGCCCTGTAAATACTCTGGGGTATGTCTACACTACCCCGCTAGTTCGAACTAGCGGGATAATGTAGGCATACCGCACTTGCAAATGAAGCCTGGGATTTGAATTTCCCGGGCTTCATTTGCATAA